AGGGAGGACATGGGGAAATATCACCCTGACAGTAGGAAGGGGACCTTTCTCCTCAGTGACATGTTTCTGTTATCAGCCCTGGCCTAGGATGAGCAAGGCAACCTCAGAAACATGCGTAGGAAACAGAAATATCTCCATGACCCCACTGCCCTGGGTGGGGTACGCACTGAGGTGGGAGTTGACCACCATACTCACATCCTGCTTGGTGAAATACTTCAGACATCCCTCTCGCTCAGACAAGAGGAACTTGCGGGGTAAGAACTGTCCGTTGTCTCGACCTCGCTTCCAGAGGATGCCTTCCTTCACCCCTAGGATCAGAAAGGCCACTTTTAAGAGCATCCCCCCACAGGCACGGTAGACATCAGAGAGCTGCATGCAGTCCCAGCCACACCTCTGGGATAAAGCACACGATGGACTATTGCTGAGAACAAACACTTGAGGAGAGGTCTCACATCTGACTTACAGCTGAAGATGGTGGTGTTCCTGGGTTTGCAGCCCAGACAAATGGTCACCAAAAGACATTCCCAAATGCTTCCCACCTCCTAGCCCAGCTCCCACTGCTGCTTCTGATAGCGTGAGAGCCATCTCTCCTGTGAACACCAGAGTCCTGGCCCACACAGACCCTGGTGTGGGACCAGAACTCTTCCCATTTGACTCCACAGGCCCTTGGGCTCCAGCACCTTGTGTCACAGCACTGGCAGTGACATTTCAAAGACAACTGCCATGGTTGGAAGGGGTGGCATGCAGCAGGACAGAAATTCCTTACTGCAGAGGTCTGGCTCCACCAGGACAGCAAATGCCTTTCAAAATGCCAGCTGGTAGTATCAGCCTTGGAAGAAACCCATGGCAGTGCCAGCCTACGCTGCCCACACAAAACAATGCCCTGTAAGTACCAGCTGGGTTCTCAGGAGTATTTGTGGGATTTGCAACACTGACACTATGACCTTTCTCCTCATGGTGCTCAAAAGCTTCCAGTGAAGGCAACAGGCAGGACATTTTGATGTTGTGCTCTGCTCTTACCATCCGAATACGCCTGCTGTTTTCCTGGCTCAGTGAACTCTTTGCGTTCGTATTTGGCCCGTATCCACTGTTCTCTCAGCACTCTAGGGAAAAAAAAAGTGAAAGAGGTAACAGGTAGCTCAGAAATGAACTAGAGGAATCCAGAACTGCCCTTCCTCCTTTTCTTCTGTATGGAGCAACTTACTGGCAGTCATTGTAGGTTGGCTGGTAATAGTAAATAGGGATGTGAGCTTCATATGTGGCTTTAGTCACAGCGTTCCCATGCTTGGCCAGAAACTGCAGAGTTAGACAGAGAGTTAGTGCCTTCCCTTTGATGCAGACTCATGTTGGATTTTTTTCCTTTCTGACCCACTACAGGGCTAGATGCACATCGAGCTCTAATGGAGCATTCTCTTTCCCCTTCATTGCAACATCCCAGCAAAGTCTGGCTACAGAAAGGTGGGTCTCAAAGGTCTTGTCTACTCTCAGAAGTAACACTAATTGCACGTGAATCAATAGAATGCCATAAATGTCACTTCTGTGGGGCTGGGTGCACGCACATTCAATGGATTTGCTGCCATGCCCCACATCTCCAGCGAGACTGAGTTCAACAACAGCTCTGCAATGCCGTCTGGGAGGACATTCCAAACCTCTTTGCTCCTCTCCAAAGAGCAGCGAGATACAGATTATTTTCTTTGGATCTCTGGAAAATTTTTTCAGTCCCCTGAAGATTAATGGGTTGAGGGGGGTGTAATGGGGAGAAGTCAAGTTCCCATAAATGCCATTTTTCTCAAGAGATCACATTATATCTGGAAACTCTTCTCGGAGCATGGGATTGCCCAAGATTTTCCCCTCGGACTGCTGAAACCAGGAGGAGACATTGAGGCTGGATGGTGCTGGCAGGCGGGAAACAAGTAATCTGGAGGAGCAAATACCCTGAACCTTGGCAAGATACATTGCAAGAGCTTGGAATTTGCCATAAAGCAACAGAACATGGGGAGACACATAAGGCAAGTGCATCCTCCCTCTGCCAGTGGGTTATGGGGACTTATCCCCGCTTGAGTATCCAGAGCGTGAGTAGCAAAGGGACAGACTAAACCAAACCAAATCTCCAACTCTGTGAGGCCAAATTTTCCCAGGACAATTAGTGTATGGCCTAGACCCAACCCACCTGATATACCAGTGGGGATAAAGATCTCACCTGCACTTGAGCATCATCCCAGTGGTCCATCTTCAGGGATTTGACTTTGCTGATGCTAGGGATGTTGCGGTGAATTCCTGAACAGCTGAGGCATATAAAGACACCCAAAGTAGAGGATGCCCAGTCAGGATCTGAGGGTATAAAAAACAGTCTGACCAGAAGTGTTAAATTTGCCTGAGAGATACGCCTCAACTGAGAACGTAGCCCTGAGAAACAGAGAGCTGGGTGACCACAGTTTCATCCGAGCTGATTAATTAATACCCAAGGCACAGATGCCAGTCAGAAAAATGCATAGCTATCAGTGCTTCATTCCCTCTGCTTCAACCACTTTCTCTGAATCTCTGTTGACCTGAACCTTGAAAAACTCCAAAGTGCTCTGTGAACTCCCTTTGTGTACAGGGTCACCCACAATGAAAATGAAACCACCTCTGGGAGAAGACTCCAGGAGCTGTTTAGTGCAACACCACAAATCCACAACAGTATTTAGCTCAGGAACTGGAAAGTAGCCTTGAATCCAGAATTTTCCTGGGAGAATTTAAGAAGGTAAAACGGTACTAATTAACCCAGTCTTAATTTGGCTTGGGTGATACACTCCACATGCCCCTTTTGGGAGGAGTACGATGGGTGTTTTAGCAATGCTTGTAGGACCTCAAATTGGGTAGTCTTTTGAGAGTGCAAGCCCTTCAGTAAAAGAAATCTCCCAGGTGCCTGTGGCAGGTTGTCAGTTCAGAGCTGAGTCATGGAGAAGACAATGCCCTCCTGAATCATGCCTTGTTTCTGAAGCAGTTAGGATTTCACCAGGAGCTTTCCTGTCGGGTCCTGACTGGGCATGACCTTGATTTGTATGAGATCTGACACGACAACAACCCACAGTGCTGCAGCTACGCAGCCCGTCCTCCTCTGGCACCACCACATCTCCCGTCTTTCTTCCCACCAGCACCATGGCAGCATCTCCTTCCTCCTCCCTTGACAACTCAACTCCAGGGAGAGGAAGCAAATATCCAGAGCAATGCCTCTCCTTCCTCTCCACCCCAAGCTCCTGTGCATTCAATAGGCACCACCAAACAGCTGCTAGAGACCAGTCCCAGCTCCCTGCTTCTGACTCTTCCTCCAGCAACCCTCAGGGACTCACCCGGCTTCCCGCAGTCTGCACACAAAGAGTTTTCTGCTCTTCTCCACACCTCCTTCAGGACCTTCATGCTCCGCTCGTTGCCTCCAGCCATCAGGTCTGAATGCAATCCCTCCAGGCAGGGCAGGGCAGGGCCAGGAGGGCAGCTGCCTGCACCTTCTGCACCTGCAGGCCAACCCACTGGGTTGCCCAAGGGAGAAGGAGCCACCAGAGAGACAGAAGCTCTGGCAGACGAGGGGGAAAAGAGGAAGGCAGGAGAAGCCGTAAGGTTAATGGAAGGAGTGCGGAGGCCTGACAGTGCACCTGAGCCGGCTGAGCACAAGCAGGGGCAAAGAGGCTGGAGACTGAAGTGCACCCAGACTGAGGGAGGAGGAGGAGGAGACCTGCCCCATGGGCGTGGAGGGAAGTGCAGCAATTAACCACAGAACTGGTTTTTCCGCATTTCTGCTGGTGAAAGGACAGGCCAGGAAAGGAGCGCAAGCAGCGAGCAAGCTGATAAAGGCGAGGCGGCCCTGGATGAGCGGCCACCAGGCTGTGTCAGGACTCGTCATGCTCTGTGGGCTAGGGGGGGTGTTGGCTTTGCCTGCCACCACAGCGCTTCAGCAGCTTCCACCAAAGCCAACTGGCCACCACACAAGCGTGACACCCATTTTTTAAGGCAAGAACTGGTGGGCAAGAAAGGTTCAAGAGTTCAACCAAAGTCACTCAAGCCGGCAGCCAAGAACATGGCAGTCCTGATGCTCCTACCAACTCATACCAGTCCCTCTCCACCAGTATAGAAACCACAGTGGCTCAGACAGGTCCTGCATCTTGGAGACTCAGCATCACAGCTGAGACCCATCCCTGCAATGGCCCTCTCCAGCTAAGAGGAGCAATACAGGTGTCACTAACACCAAGAAATGAGGACAGCTTGAAATACACTCTCACACCTTTATTGAAGAAATGCAGATGTTAAATACTCGCAGGAGTAACCTTTATTAAAAAGTTGCAGATGTAAAATACTCAAGAGTGGCAGGGCGAGTCTCAGGGTGAGCGGCCGGGTGCTACGCTGGCTGCACAAGGCTGTAAGAGCCATTTGCTGGGAGGGAGCTGAAGAGGAGCAGGAGCTGGAGGCAGCACTCAAGCCTGAA